CCGATAATCTGATTGTCTATGACGTCAGCTGATTGTTGACGTATCTATTCTGTGATGTCATTACTTATGGGGACACAATAAACAATGACGTTGCTTCATTGTTGACGTCACAGATTCCTGCTTGGCGACATCACCACTGTGTCCCAAACCGTTTGTGGACCCCTGTAATTATTTGGCAAGCGTCGCATCTGATTATACGGGCCACTGAGACAGACATGGTCCCTTTATCAACCCAATAACATGCTCTCTGTCATGAATGAGCACAGGTTGCAAACAAAATACACAACATTTACAGCAAAGAACACACATCAAATCCTAGCAACGAAACCAAGCTCAGGTAGACCACTGGCGTTTTTACAGTAATACATGCGGCAGTATTTGGAAAGGGCCCTCATACTTAATGTACAACTGAATTCTATTAAAACAATCTGAAGCATCGTTGCACCTGCCGAGTAAATGAAGTGAAAATTCTATAATATACACCAAATACCTTCCTTCAAGCAAAGGGGCGGTCGGGAAACCTAGTGGTTAAAGCGTTCGCTCGCCATTGACGGGTTCAATTCCCGACATGGGTACAATGTGTGAAGCCCATTTCTGGTATCCCCCGCCGTGATATTACCGGAATATTGCTACAAGCGGCGTAAAACCATACTCACTCACACACCCCTTCAAGCAAATAGTTACTGATGGCACAAACGCAGTCTCATGCTATAACTACGTCTGCGACTTGCTGATTGAATTTCCAAACAAAGACTTACTAATTATACCTGTGTTAATCACGCAACATGATAGTTACGGTGGATGACAACAGAAAGCTTTAAGCCCATTTCTGGTATCCCCCGCCGTGATATTACCGGAATATTGCTACAAGCGGCGTAAAACCATACTCACTCACACACCCCTTCAAGCAAATAGTTACTGATGGCACAAACGCAGTCTCATGCTATAACTACGTCTGCGACTTGCTGATTGAATTTCAAACAAAGACTTACTAATTATACCTGTGTTAATCACGCAACATGATAGTTACGGTGGATGACAACAGAAAGCTTTAAATTTCCTTACTGACTGCGACTTCAATACACAGGAATAGATCCATCTGAACACCAACAGCAACACAAGTGATACTTTCCTTTTCACAACTACGCGATCTCATCTAGGCACACGCATTCAAGTCATATTATGTGACAGCAACCAACAGTCACTATACAAATCCGAACGTTAACTCTGTACATTACCTTGAAAAGGCAACATACTAGTTATCCAATCACATTCAATTAAAAACACATTTAACGCTCGTACCAAGCCCATTCATTCACTACCACAATGCCGACGCTGCCAAGAACACTTTCCTCGTCACCATAAGCTTTGTCTATTAGTCATACTAAATTACTAGACAGAGGAATTTAGGATACAATCGCCAAATCTAAACAGTCGTCTGCAGTGAACACACGTCACTGGATAACGCGAAGGTCTGTTTGAATATTGAAAGAAAACGATTTAGCATCAAAGAATATAGCTCTGACTTACCTCTGCCTAATTCCGTTCCTGTCACAACAAAACCTGCTTTTGTCATACATCCCGAAAGCAACACGTCCTCCGGCAGCGTACACTGCCGATAATCTGATTGTCTATGACGTCAGCTGATTGTTGACGTATCTATTCTGTGATGTCATTACTTATGGGGACACAATAAACAATGACGTTGCTTCATTGTTGACGTCACAGATTCCTGCTTGGCGACATCACCACTGTGTCCCAGACCGTTTGTCGACCCCTGGAATTATTTGGTAAGCGTCGCATCTGATTATACGGGCCACTGAGACAGACATGGTCCCTTTATCAACCCAATAACATGCTCTCTGTCATGAATTAGCACAGGTTGCAAACAAAATACACAACATTTACAGCAAAGAACACACATCAAATCCTAGCAACGAAACCAAGCTCAGGTAGACCACTGGCGTTTTTACAGTAATACATGCGGCAGTATTTGGAAAGGGCCCTCATACTTAATGTACAACTGAATTCTATTAAAACAATCTGAAGCATCGTTGCACCTGCCGAGTAAATGAAGTGAAAATTCTATAATATACACCAAATACCTTCCTTCAAGCAAAGGGGCGGTCGGGAAACCTAGTGGTTAAAGCGTTCGCTCGCCATTGACGGGTTCAATTCCCGACATGAGTACAATGTGTGAAGCCCATTTCTGGTATCCCCCGCCGTGATATTACCGGAATATTGCTACAAGCGGCGTAAAACCATACTCACTCACACACCCCTTCAAGCAAATAGTTACTGATGGCACAAACGCAGTCTCATGCTATAACTACGTCTGCGACTTGCTGATTGAATTTCCAAACAAAGACTTACTAATTATACCTGTGTTAATCACGCAACATGATAGTTACGGTGGATGACAACAGAAAGCTTTAAATTTCCTTACTGACTGCGACTTCAATACACAGGAATGGATCCATCTGAACACCAACAGCAACACAAGTGATACTTTCCTTTTCACAACTACGCGATCTCATCTAGGCACACGCATTCAAGTCATATTATGTGACAGCAACCAACAGTCACTATACAAATCCGAACGTTAACTCTGTACATTACCTTGAAAAGGCAACATACTAGTTATCCAATCACATTCAATTAAAAACACATTTAACGCTCGTACCAAGCCCATTCATTCACTACCACAATGCCGACGCTGCCAAGAACACTTTCCTCGTCACCATAAGCTTTGTCTATTAGTCATACTAAATTACTAGACAGAGGAATTTAGGATACAATCGCCAAATCTAAACAGTCGTCTGCAGTGAACACACGTCACTGGATAACGCGAAGGTCTGTTTGAATATTGAAAGAAAACGGTTTCGCATCAAAGAATATAGCTCTGACTTACCTCTGCCTAATTCCGTTCCTGTCACAACAAAACCTGCTTTTGTCATACATCCCGAAAGCAACACGTCCTCCGGCAGCGTACACTGCCGATAATCTGATTGTCTATGACGTCAGCTGATTGTGACGTATCTATTCTGTGATGTCATTACTTATGGGGACACAATAAACAATGACGTTGCTTCATTGTTGACGTCACAGATTCCTGCTTGGCGACATCACCACTGTGTCCCAAACCGTTTGTGGACCCCTGGAATTATTTGGCAAGCGTCGCATCTGATTATACGGGCCACTGAGACAGACATGGTCCCTTTATCAACCCAATAACATGCTCTCTGTCATGAATTAGCACAGGTTGCAAACAAAATACACAAAATTTACAGCAAAGAACACACATCAAATCCTAGCAACCACTGGCGTTTTTACAGTAATACATGCGGCAGTATTTGGAAAGGGCCCTCATACTTACATGTACAACTGAATTCTATTAAAACAATCTGAAGCATCGTTGCACCTGCCGAGTAAATGAAGTGAAAATTCAATAATATACACCAAATAACTTCCTTCAAGCAAAGGGGCGGTCGGGTAGCCTAGTGGTTAAAGCGTTCGCTCGTCACGCCGAAGACCTGGGTTAGATTCCCGACATGAGTAGAATGTGTGAAGCCCATTTCTGGTGTCCCCCGCCGTGATATTGCTGGAATATTGCTAAAAGCGGCGTAAAACCATACTCACTCACTCAGTCTCATGCTATAACTACGTCTGCGACTTGCTGATTGAATTTCCAAACAAAGACTTACTAATTATACCTGTGTTAATCACGCAACATGATAGTTACGGTGGATGACAACAGAATGCTTTTCCTTACTGACCGCGACAAATCATATTATGTGACGGCAACCAACAGTCACCACACACACACACACACACACACCGAATCCCACGTACCAAAAGCGTACCAACTTGAAGGGTTGGCGGCTTCGTGTATGTTGTAGATATATATATTAATAATGCGAACGGAAAATTAAACGCGTACGTGTATCAGAAACATGCTCATACTTTCTCGCATTCTAGGCCGTTTTACTAAGGTTTGTCAATGGCCGTTTAGTGGCTTGGCCGTTTTAGCTAAACCCAATCGCAACTGAGTTGCCTGAGTCCCATGCCTGCGCCGGCTTGTTTACAAGGGACCACAAGACACAGTGGTGGGTTTGCATGATCAATACAAATGTCAAGTCTGGTTAATCTAATGTGCACTAATAGCCTAATACACGTGTTCACCATACGTGTCGTAATAAAGGTGCATGCATCTTAGTGGATGTATATATGTATGTAGTGATGGGTTCTGACAGTCAAAAGATTACCTAAAATCACAGAATATAGGTTAATCTACATAGTGCACACCAGGTCGACCTTCCATCTTGCCATTGTTGGTGTTGACTTAGAGAGATGTGTTTATATTGAAAGTTGTGGTTTCAGTGAACTGGGGTGAAAAGTGCAATACAAATAATACACTATGGTCCCATGCCAAAACGGCCCAACCCGGAACCATTCCAGATTGACCTCTTTGAGAATCATCGAAAAGTTGGAGTTCTAAGTAAGGATAAGATATATGGCTGAACAAAATCTTCATTACGTCTCTCCTAATTCTAATAAATAAGTTGTTCATCCTTACTCATTCGAGATTGATCAAAATGCCCAGTTTTTTTCCTGAACAGTTCAGTTAAAATCTTGTGCTGAGTTATGAAGAAAGAAATACGTTTTATAGCTTTCCTTTCTAACTTAAGTTCTGAGAAATGAGTAACTCTGATGTTATAGAACTAAGAAGATAAACATCCCCTTCTTGACTAACTTTAACACATGTTTAAGGTAATAACTGGGGCAGTCGGGTAGCCTAGTGGTTCAAGTGTTTGGTTGTTCCGCCGAAAACCCGGGTTCGATTCCCGACGTGCGTACAATGTGTGAAGCACATTTCTGGTGTTCCCGCTGGGACATTGCTGGAATATTGCTAAAAGTGGCGTAAAACCATACTCGCTCACTCACTCACTAAAGATAATAACTGATTGATTAACGTTCATGCTATGTGCGATTTGATGATTAAACACACTCATCATTTGACTGTTAATTTGCTGTCTGGCTTATAATGTTTTGGCATGTATTTTTCAAGCCACGGTACAGCGATGTCTACTTTCTGATTGTTTCTTTATGATGTTCAGGTTACAGAGAAGGGTGTTATACTTTCTTTGTGGATAAAGAACTTTAAAGATGGACTTTATTGTAAGTACCACAAAAATCCAATCTTATTCATGTTATGTCTATTTTTAACTATCAAACACTGTCAAACACCCAAAATCAAATCAAATTAATGTGATCACAAAAATTATGATCTCCACATTAAGGTGTCACATTTCAATGAAAATCATTGCAATCAGGATGGGGATTTCCGGGTTAGAATTGGTTCACAGCAACTGTACTGGTTGTAGGAGGCAACTAAGCAGATCAGGTGGGGGGCACGGGTGGCCCAGTCGTCTAAGGCGCCGCGATTCGCTGTGCAGAGTTGCGTCCCCTTGACGCGCCAGAAACATATGATTGTGAGTTCGAATCCCGGTTCGCCCCAATTATGTTTCTAGGTTTCTCAGCACCATACCCGTGCTCGTGGGTTTCACCGAAGTGGTAAACGTCTGAGACCTGCATCACTTCAGGCTTTCCTCCCACATTAAGCCGACACGCTGTGATATAACTGGAATACTGTTAAAAACGGCGTTAAAACCCAACTCCCTTAGCAAATCAGGTAGTCACACTCACAGATTGGTTTATAGTTGATGCTCGTACCCTAACGGCCTGGACTGTTGTGATCACAATGTCGACCACTGACAAGACAGGATTATTTAATGGCCTTCATCCTACAGCTGGAGTATTGCTGAGTGCGGTAGTACATTAAATTAGTCACTGGTTTGTCTTGTTAAGACTCAGTTACTTTTAAGTATTGACACTTAGTATGGGGACTACAATGTGCATAATATCATATGTTCATGGTGTGGAATTTCAGGTGAAACAGGAGCCTTTTGAGGAAAGTCTGTCTCCTCCAGAGTGTAAGAGACCTCGCAATAACTGCATGGACGTTGAGGTGCCAAGTGACGACCGTTTTCTGTGTAAGTAACATTTCTGTGTAAGTAACATTTCTGTGTCAGTAACATTTCTGTGTCAGTAACATGTCTGTGTCAGTAACATGTCTGTGTTAGTAGCATTTCTGTGTAAGTAACATTTCTGTGTAAGTAACATGTCTGTGTAAGTAGCATTTCTGTGTAAGTAACATGTCTGTGTTAGTAGCATTTCTGTGTAAGTAACATTTCTGTGTAAGTAAGGCCTCTGTAGTTTAATGCCGCACTATTCCAGCTTTATGACGGCAAGGTGAAAGGTGAGAAGGTTACATTGAAGAGAATGAGAGCACATGTTTGTGTGTAGGCATCATGTAAGTTACTGAAGCAAGCACATGTTTGTGTGTAGGTATCATGTCAGGTATTGAAGCAAGGACATGTTTGTGTGTAGGCATCATGTAAGTTACTGAAGCAAGCACATGTTTGTGTGTAGGCATCATGTCAGGTACTGAAGCAAGCACATGTTTGTGTGTAGGCATCATGTAAGGTACTGAAGCAAGCACATGTTTGTGTGTAGGCATCATGTCAGGTATTGAAGCAAGCACATGTTTGTGTGTAGGCATCATGTCAGGTATTGAAGCAAGCACACGTTTATGTGTAGGCATCATGTCAGGTATTGAAGCAAGCACATGTTTGTGTGTAGGCATCATGTCAGGTATTGAAGCAAGCACACGTTTATATGTAGGCATCATGTCAGGTATTGAAGCAAGCATATTGAAAAAGCTAATATATTAACCCCTGTGTTGTTCATCAGATTGCGAGGACTGCAACAAGGAGTATGAAGGGGACTGTTCAGTACACGGACCTCTTCTCATGGTGGCAGACACACAGGTATTCTCCATGTACTCTGATGGATAATAATGGTCATTTTAGAACGTACCAGTAGAAAACCTTATTGAAGTAGATCCAAGTGAGTGAGGTTTTTTATCAGTATTTGTTAGTTATTCATATATACAATTCTTTATAAATAGTCAGAATTTCACAACAAACTCTGATTCACACTGAACTCTGCTTGTTATATTTTATGTCTTCACCTGTGAAGATCCAGGTTTGAGTAGGTTTTCACTAACCATGATAGTTTAAAAGGCGACATTGATTGCCGTAAGAGGCAACTGACAGGATCGGGTTCAGGTCAGGCTCGCTGACTTGGTTGATGCATGTCTGGTCCAGACTTGATTATTTACAGACCTCCGTCATATAACTGGAATATTGCTAATTACGGTGTTAAACTACAGCCCTAATGCCCAGGTATGGACAGTTTCTTCTGTACTAAAAGGGTTTGGACAAGGGTTGTATGACACTATGAACGCTATATCAGTTACTTCATGGCAGAATAGCTTCATTAGGTAGAAAATCTAAAAGTGAAGCAGATGTAGACATTTGCCACTTTGGTGAAACCCCATAGCATTGGGACTGACAAAAACATTCATAACCTTTAGTGGGTAAGTGAGTGAGTATGGTCTTACGCCGCAGTTAGCAATATTCCAGCAATATCGCGGCGGAGGACACCAGAAATGGGCTTCACACATTGTACCCATGTCAGGAATTGAACCCGGGTCGAAAGGTCAACAGTTGATAGGATTTGGGCACATTTGCACCTTACTCCATTTTCAGCTCAGATGCTTTCAACAGCACTATCAGTGTATCAGTATAAATAAATAAATAAATAAATAAATAAATAAATAAATAAATAAATAAATAAATAAATAAATAAATAAATAAATAAATAAATAAATAAATAAATAAATAAATAAATAAATAAATAAATAAATAAATTTTAGAGACAGTATATGTGGTATACTCCGGCATTTATAGCCTTCTTGTTTCAAAACAGATTTTAGAAATGCAATGGTGTATGACAGAGTGACAAACAACGAACGACAGTGACTCATTGACACTCTCTTTATGGAGGTAAACATATGTACAATTTATTTTCAAATGTGGAATGATTTCAGGAAACACCAGGAAGCTCAGACAGAGCGTGGAAAACGATGCCTGTTGGTCTGGAGATTGAGGAATCTGGGATCCCAGGAGCTGGTCTTGGAGTTTGGGCGTCTCAGGACTTTGTTCCACGCACCTGCTTTGGGCCGTACGAGGGAGACTCCATCCAAGATGAGAACACTGCTCATGGATCAGGATACAGTTGGCAAGTATGTTTGGTACTAAAATACTGTCGGATATCATAGAAATATGCTTTTTACCATTTTAATACTTCATTAAATATCAAATATGTGTTTGTTATGAAAAATGAAAAAGATGACCATATATGTTTTGTCAACACTGTTCCCATAAGCATGCTGCATTCAGGGTTTTACATAACCTTGTTAAAATGGGACTGACCACATATTTTGAGGGGAGTCATTTCCAAAATTTGATTTTCTTTAAACTTATACAGTTGTTTCTATTTTATGGAAGTTATTTCAGTCTCATTTAATTCTGAAAGTTTGTAGAGTTGTTTTTTCTTAAACAGGTCGATATTTTTTTCAAATATTGTAGATACTCAGCCTGAATTTAGATGTCCTTAGTGAATTTACTGTGTTAGTTAATACTAGTATGAACTCTTTGCGGGTTTTTCCGGAAATTATTGCGTCAAATACGTTATAATGCTAATATGACTGTGTATTGTCCATGGAAGGTGCAAGAGCAGTATTTATTTATGTATGTATGTATGTATGTATGTATGTATGTATGTATGTATGTATGTATGTATGTATGTATGTATGTATGTATGTATGTATGTATGTATGTATGTATGAATGTATCTATCTATCTATCTATCTATCTATCTATCTATTTTTTTATTTATTTTTTTCAAATATTGTAGATACTCAGCCTGAATTATGATGTCCTTAGTGAATTTACTGTGTTAGTTAATACTAGTATGAAATCAAGTTTTTCCGGAAATTACGTTAAATCAAATACGTTATAATGCTAATATGACTGTGTATTGTCCATGGAAGGTGCAAGAGCAGTGGACAAGACTCCCTCAAATTGTCATTGGGAGATTGATTCGGACCGTGCCAAACCATATACATAGATCTGGGGCCAAGCTTTGGGGCTTGACCCTCATCTCAAACATTCATTTTTTACTACACAACTTCTTTCTTGGCTGTCAGCGCCCTTACAATACATTGTCAACATGTTCTGTTGATTGTCATGTCACACCTAGTTCTTCCTTTTTCTTATCATCCATTACTATCACTCAATCCATTGTCGTAAGAGGCGACTAATGGGATCGGGTGGTTAGCCTTGCTGACTTGGTTGAGGCGTGTCATCAATCCCAATTGTGTTGATCGATGCTCATGATGTCAATCACTGGATTTTCTGGTCCAGACTCGATTATTTACAGGCCGCCGTCATATAGCTAGAATATTGCAAACAAACCAACCAACCAAATCCTTTTTGTATTTCTCTTACCATCTTCTTTTTCATATATCCCATACTTTTTTAGGAGAGAATATATGCATGAGCAAAATCTGTGACCAAAGATTCTTTTCTGTGATACCTTAATGTCTATAAAAAATCAGCTTTAGTCCCAAGATTTGCTCAAATACAATTATTAGAAAAACGGTGGAGGGGGGGCACGGGTGGCCCAGTCGTCTAAGGCGCCACTATTCGCTGTGCAGAGTTACATCCCTTGGGCACGCCAGAAACATATAATTGTGGGTTCGAATCCCGGTTTGCCCTGATAATGTTTCTAGATTTGTCAGCACCATACCCGTGCTCGTGGGTTTCACCAAAGTGCTAAACGTCTGAGACCTGCATCACTCCGGGCTTTCCTCCCACATTAAGCTGACACGCCGCGATATAACTGAAATACTTTTAAAAGCGGCGTTAAATCCAACTCACTCACTCACTATTAGAAAAACACTTCTGGAAAACCACTAAAATCAGCTGTTTGACTGATTTTAACTTTATCAATACATATTGTGTTGTAATAAGTCTTAGTATGTGCATACTGAAATTAACATCGTCTAATTGTCATTCATATTAATACATTTCATAGTGTTTGGATATTTCTGAAACCATGCAGATGCTGTGGGCTAAAAGGAGTTCTCATCACACCTTGTCATCTATTGTGTATTTTGTATTTGCTTTCAATCAGATCCACACAGATGAACAACCTTCCCACTTTGTAGATGGCCAACACTGCAACACAGCCAACTGGATGAGATATGTCAACTGTGCTCGAACAGAGGAAGAACAGAATCTGACAGCATTTCAATACAATGGTCATATCTACTACAGAGCATACAAGAAGATTGGTGTTGGTTGCGAGCTGCTTGTCTGGTATGGACACAAGTATGCAAGGAACCTTGGTATCGAGAGACAACTTACACTCCAAGAGGGGCACACTGAAGGTAAACACTTTAATCATGATGCAAGTAGAGAGGCTGCATTGGTAAAGGATACAAGTCAATATTTCACTGAGGGTACTAATTGTGCTCTCTCCTTGTTAATTATCCCCCGCCCAACAAAGTTGGCGGGGGATATAGAAACGGGCTCCGTCCGTCCGTCATGTTTCGTTTCCGGAGCATAACTCAGAAACCGTTAAATATTTTTTCATCAAACTTTTCAGGTATGTCAGGTACATGCTGAACTGGTGCTTTTTGCTATTTAGAAATTTTTATTTTTTACGTTTCTATGGCAACAAGATGGACTTAGGTTCTGTGAGGGTAGGGTTCGTTTCCGGAGCATAACTCATAAACCGTTCAATATTTTTTCATCAAACTTTGCAGGTCTGTCAGGTACATGCTGAACTGGTGCCTTTTGCTATTAAGAAATTTTAGAAAATTTTATTTTTTACGTTTCCATGGCAGCAAGATGGACTTGGGTTCCAAACTCTTCTTTTTTTTACAATTTCCATGACATTCCACCTCGGTTAAAAAAGGTTAGGGTTTGTTTAGATTTAATTATGTCATAAATTCTGCAACAGGGGCGGGTGATATAGCCACATTAGTGGCAAACTCTTGTTTGTTTCTTTTTGCAATAGAATCAGATTTATTTTACTACTTAGTTAAATAAAAGAAAGACACATTGCCAAAAAGTTCAAACTTAGTTTTAGCTGTTCAGATGACCTCATCTTTTTCAACGATGCCAAGATAAATGGGTATCTTCACCTCATCTATCCAGCACAGTTAGCTGAGACACCATAGTCAGTGTATCATCTGTGCTTAGAAAATGAAAATGATGCAGCCTCTGTACCAAGCTGGAATGATTTCGATTTTACCAAAGTTATTTTTTCCTCAATGTCCAATCTCATTAAAATCATATCTTAGTTCTCGCTACCACTAAACAAAGATCTGAGGACATCCCATTACGGGTCACGTCAGACTGACCTTGCACGAACTTTGACAGACCAGTGGAATGACCAATCAGAAGGCAGCTTTCTCGTGTTTTATGGCACTAATTTCAAATTGGCGACTATGCTTCAAAACATATTTTGACAAATTCTCGATTACAAATTTAAAACCTGACCAAAAAAACATTCTGGAATGGCTAATAGATGGTCTAGATTGTAAGGATTCAGTCGTTAAACCCATAACTATCGTTCGGAATACGCAATGTTAAAGTTTTCGAGATTGCATGATTAGAAATCATATTCCGACTGTCACTTTCATAATCTGGTAAGCGACGCACTGATTGGTCGGATGAAAGGTCGTTCTGACGTGACCCCAAATGGGATGTCTTCAGATCTTTGTTTAGCGGTAGCGAGAACTAAGGTCTGATTTTAATGAGATTGCTCAATGTCAAGCAATATACCGGTACCATCAGCTCCATCTGGTGAAGCCCACATTTCCAAAGTATTTCAGAGCATGTACATCGTATTCAAATTTCATGAGTGAGTTTGGTTTAACAGTATTCCAGTTATATCGCGGCGTGGCAGCTTAATGTGGGAGGAAAGCCCGAAGTGATGCAGGTCTCAGACGTTTACCACTTCGGTGAAACCCACGAGCACGGGTATGGTGCTGACAAACCTAGAAACATAATTGGGGCGATCCGGGATTCGAACCCACAATCATAGGTTTCTGGCGTGCCCAAGGGACGCAACTCTGCACAGCAAATCGCGGCGCCTTAGACGACTGGGCCACCCGCGCCCCCCCAAGACAAGAGAGTTAACTGACTTTAAAAGTCCAGATTTCGATTTCATTGCATGATTTTGATTCGACTATTCATAGACTCGTTAGTCCAGCCAAAATCAAACTCCATGATACCATCCTTGTTCGGCAAGGGTGGAAACTGAACTTTTATAGTCAGTTAACTCTCTTGCCCCGACCGCCGTGATATTGCTGGAATATTGCTTAAAGCGGCGTAAAACCATACTCACTCACTCACTCACTCACTCACTCACTCACTCACTCACTCACTCACTCACTCACTCACTCACTCACTCACTCACTCACTCACTCACTCACTCACTCACTCACTCACTCACTCACTCACTCACTCACTCACTCACTCACTCACTCACTCACTCACTCACTCACTCACTCACTCACTCACTCACTCACTCACTCACTCACTCACTCACTCACTCACTCACTCACTCACTCACTCACTCACTCACTCACTCACTCACTCACTCACTCACTCACTCACTCACTCACTCACTCACTCACTCACTCACTCACTCACTCACTCACTCACTCACTCACTCACTCACTCACTCACTCACTCACTCACTCACTCACTCACTCACTCACTCACTCACTCACTCACTCACTCACTCACTCACTCACTCACTCACTCACTCACTCACTCACTCACTCACTCACTCACTCACTCACTCACTCACTCACTCACTCACTCACTCACTCACTCACTCACTCACTCACTCACTCACTCACTCACTCACTCACTCACTCACTCTTGCCCCGAGAAGATGGCAGGAGTATTGCTGGGAGCAATGTTAGAAAAGTTTTTGAGAATCCACATCGTATTATTACCACTTGTCTCAAATACTTTCTGTGATGATAAAGGAAGTCCTTCCTTGATTGCATTAAGGATTCTGGTTTATCTTTTGAGATAGGGATTTGACTGTATATTTGCTAAACACAGCAGTATATCTCCCTTTGTATGGATTTTTAAGCCCACCTGTTTATGGAGGTTTAATGAGGGGCGTCGTTCCTTGGTCTTGTACTCATATCTATCAGTTTTTGTGGATACACCTATATGACATATAACGTCCAGTAGCCTGTAGATGCATTATTAAAACCTTCCATCAAACATTACAATACTTCCTATCAAGTGTTGACGCCTGTGGTCTAGTGGTAGAACGTCCGCCCGGAGAGCGGAAGGTCCGGGGTTCGATCCCCAGCTGTGTCATACCAAAACACGTTAAAAGATGGTACTTTTTGTTACCCTGTCTGGCGCTCAGTATTAAGGGGCTAAAACAAAGACTGGTCGGCTCGGAGTCAGTATACTGTGTCTGAGTGGGGTATTCATGTTAAACTGCGGCATGGTATCTCAGTGTGCTAGCACTATAAATCGGCATCAGTCCGGACTAGTACAAGCAGCCACACACACACACACATGCACATGCACGCACGTCGCTATATAAGTGCAATAATCTTGGACACGATGTTAAACCCTATTTCACCTCACCTCTTATCAAGTATCATCAAAGATACTCATGTACCAAGTCTGATGTTCATGAACATGACTGAATGGTGGAACATGCACAGGGACTTGGCCTGAAGCCAGTAGATGTATGAATGAAACCTTCCCAGCACTACTATCAGGTAGTATCAAACATTACAATATGGCGTATCTCGATCTTCCTTTTTCAGATATGTACCCATGTGACAGCTGTGATCTTGGGTTCTCATCTGTGGTGTTCTTGTGGAAACATCTGAAGAAGATGCATGGAGGAAAACTGACTTCTCAGTTGAGGTTCATAGTGAACACTCAGGGCATAAATATTTGTGACTTAAATGGGGAGATAGCTAGCCAGAAGCAGAAGAGTGACACTAAGGGCGTTAACTTCAGTGGGGAGATGGCGACCCAGAAGAGTGACACTAAGGGCGTAAACTTCAGTGGGGAGATGGCGACCCAGAAGAGTGACACTAAGGGCGTAAACTTCAGTGGGGAGATGGCGACCCAGAAGAGTGACACTAAGGGCGTAAACTTCAGTGGGGAGATGGCGACCCAGAAGAGTGACACTAAGGGCGTTAACTTCAGTAGGGAGACAGAGGGCCAGAAGAGTGACATTAAGGGCGTTAACATCAGTGATATCGGTGGGGAGATAGAGGACCCAGAAGAGGACAGCAACAATGTCCTCAATGAGGACGGAAACACTGGAGGTGACGGAGCAGAAACAGCTAATCCCCAGAGACACAAACAGCATCAGAGTGGGCCACTCCTTGAGTGTGGTGAGTGTGGGGAGGGATTCAATGCACCTAGTAAACTGCAGACACACATGACATGCCACACAGAAATCCAGCCTTTTCCATGTAAGGAGTGTGGGATAACATTTACTCAACTTGAACACCTAAAGACACATATGAGGCGTCACATTGGAGTGAGACCTTATTTGTGCAGGGAGTGCAAGAAAACATTTAAACGGTTAGGAACCCTGAAGACACATATGAGGCTGCACAGTGGAGAAAGACCTTATTCATGTACAGAGTGTGAGAAAACATTTACCGAAGTTGGACACCTGAAGACACACATGAGGTGTCACAGTGGAGAAAGACCTTATTCGTGCAGTGAGTGTGAGAAAACATTTACACAATTAGGAACCCTGAAGACACATATGAGACATCACAGTGGAGAAAGACCTTATTCATGTACAGAGTGTGGGAAAGCATATACACAATTAGGACACCTGCAGAAACACATGAGACTTCACAGTGGAGTCAAGCCTATTCCATGTAAGGAGTGTAGGAAAACATTTACAAGCTCACATGACCTAGAAAGACACATGAGACTACATGGGGCAAAACCTTTTGAGTGCACTGAGTGTGGGAAAACATTTGTACAAGCAGCTTATTTGCAGAAACACATGAAGTATCACAATGGTGTACGCCCACACAAGTGTAGTGAGTGTGGGAAAGCCTTTGTTCTAGCATCTGAACTTAAGATGCACATGAGGTACCACAATGGAGTCCGTCCGTATCAGTGTGGTGAGTGTGGGAAGGCATTTGCACAATCAGGTGCCCTTAGTATACACATGAGGAGCCACGCTGGTATCAAGCCTTATAAATGTAGCGAGTGTGGAATGGCATTTGTTGCATCAGGTAGCTTGCAGCATCACATGATGGGTCACACAGGGGTCCGACCATTTCAGTGTGGTGAGTGTGGGAAGATGTTTGCAAAATCCGGAAACCTGCAGTCACACATGAGGAGCCACAGTGATGTCAAGGCTTATGAGTGTGGTGAGTGTGGCAAGGCATTTGTACGATCAACTGGTTTGCAGAAACACATGAAGTGTCACATGGACGTCAAGTCATATAAATGTGATGAGTGTGGGGAAGAATTTACAGAGTCAGGTTACCTGAAGCAACATACAAAGTGTCACATGGAAGTCAGGCCTTATAAGTGTGATGAGTGTGGGAAAGAATTCATAGAGTCAGGTGACCTGAAGCGACATACAAAGTGTCACATGGACGTCAAGCCTTATAAGTGTGATGAGTGTGGGAAAGAATTTACACGATCTTATAGCCTCAAGATGCACATGAGATGTCACAGTGGCATTGAATGTTATCAATGTAGTGAGTGTAGGAGATCTTTTACTGAGTCAGGTGACCTGAAGCAACATATGAGATGTCACAGTTGTGACAAGCCTTACAAGTGTTTAGAGTGTGGGAAGGCATTTACACAATCAGGCAACCTCAAGACGCACATAAGATGTCACAGTGGCATCAAGCCATACCAATGTAGTGAGTGTGGGAAAGAATTTACACAGTCAAGTAACCTCAAGACGCACATGAGATGTCACAGTGGTGTCAAGCCTTATCAATGTAGTGAGTGTAGGAGATCTTTTACTGAGTCAGGTGATCTGAAGCAACATATGAGGTGTCACAGTGGTGTCAAGCCTTATGAGTGTGATGTGTGTGGGAAGGCATTTACGCAATCAGGCAACCTCAAGGCGCACATGAGATGTCACAGTGGTGTCAAACCATATCAATGTAGTGAGTGTGGGAAAGAATTTACACAATCAAGTAACCTCAAGACACACTTGAGGTGTCACAGTCGCATTAAACTTGATGAAAATAGTGAGTCTGAGAAGGAATTTACACAATCGGGTAACATTCAGAGACCTAGGACTGTTGACAGTGAGGCCAAATCATACAAGTGTAGTGACGTTTACACAGCCATCTAACCTTCAGACACAGGTGTCAAGCCTCCAGAGTGTAGTCAGTGTGGGAAAACATTTACAGAGCCATCTAACCTTCAGACACAGGTGTCCAGCCTTAGGAGTGTAGTCAGTGTGGGAAAACATTTGCAGAGCCATCTAACCGTCAGACACAGGTGTCCAGCCTTAGGAGTGTAGTCAGTGTGGGAAAACATTTGCAGAGCCATCTAACCGTCAGACACAGGTGTCCAGCCTTAGGAGTGTAGTCAGTGTGGGAAAACATTTACAGAGCCATCTAACCTTCAGACACAGGTGTCCAGCCTTAGGAGTGTAGTCAGTGTGGGAAAACATTTGCAGAGCCATCTAACCGTCAGACACAGGTGTCCAGCCTTAGGAGTGTAGTCAGTGTGGGAAAACATTTGCAGAGCCATCTAACCGTCAGACACAGGTGTCCAGCCTTAGGAGTGTAGTCAGTGTGGGAAAACATTTGCAGAGCCATCTAACCGTCAGACACAGGTGTCCAGCCTTAGGAGTGTAGTCAGTGTGGGAAAACATTTGCAGAGCCATCTAACCGTCAGACACAGGTGTCCAGCCTTAGGAGTGTAGTCAGTGTGGGAAAACATTTGCAGAGCCATCTAACCGTCAGACACAGGTGTCAAGCCCCCGGAGTGTAGTCAGTGTGGGAAAACATTTGCACAGTCCTATAACCTCAAGTTGCCGCTGAGATGTCACAAATTACTTATAAACCTACTGGCTGTTTGTGTAACTCGATATGAAGTTTTTTTAAATTGTGGTAACACCTCGCAGGAGGGCTTACAATCATTGTAAACCCTTGATAGAACAAAAACTACGAACAACCTACGAGACGCACGTGCAGATTTCGCACCGTTGCGAAACCCACGTGCTGAGGAACCGAGTTCACGACTGCAGGCGATATTTCATCTCCGATACAGGTTATACATTTGAGAGTTTTTTATTACAGTTATTTAATTAAAAACGTTGTCTATGCGATGAGTCGGTTTATAAGTTGTACAAACCATGTCTCCTCGAGATTACTAGAGATTGTAAACCCTCACATTCGGGAACGTCCCTCATGTGAGGGTTTACAATCTCTAGAAATCCCTCGGAGACATGGTTTCTCCTACACATAACACCTTGACCCTGTGAGAAACATTTTTCACAATCAATAAATATCTGTATGAAGGCATACATGAATTGCCTCGGTTAATTTGGAGCCTCTGTCGTGATGAGTGTGAAGAAGATCATGCTGTCAACGAGTTTATTTTAGTGTGGAGTTGTGTCCATTACGATGATAACATGTTTCAGGTCAATCATATGTTGTGTGTTTCTTTTCTCCATACACAATCTCATTAAAATCAGATCTTAGTTCTCACTCTCGCGAAACAAAGATCTGAGGACATCCCATTACAGAACGACCTTTCATCCGACCAATCAAAGCATCTCTTACCAGATCATGGAAGTGGCAGTTGGAATGTGTTTTCTAATCATGCAACCTCGAAAACAATAACATGGGGTATTCCGAACGACAGTGACGGCCCGTACGACTGATTCCGTCAAAAATATCGTCTATCTCTCGCTTCCGGGGGATAAACATTTGAACGGAGGAGGCGTTGCACAGGTACGTCGGAAGCACTGCCATACAATCGCAACAATATATTAGACATTCCGGAATGTTCGTTTGTTCAGTCTTCAAAATTTTAATCGAGAACTGTGTCAACATATTTTTCAAGCTAAATTTTAAGTCGCCAGGTTGAAACGAGTGTCGTAAAGCTCGAGAAAGCTGCTTTCTAATTGGCTGATGTCGACTTCTTGTTAGTCATTTCAGTGGTCGGTCAAAGTTTGCGAAAGGTCGTTCTGACGTTACCCGTACTGGAATGTCCTCAGATCTTTGTTTAGCGGCAGCGAGAACTTAGATCTGATTTTAATGAGATTGCTCCATGCGCAACCCATGGTGAATGTGGTTGGAACCGGTACCCAGGAACCTGTGCTCGTCGTGAGCGAGAGGTGACCTGTTGGGTCGGGCAGACATGCTTGGTGACATGGTGGATAGCTTGTCAATATACCTCTGACAGTGTGCATTTTTTGTGGATTGTCTGTTCAGGAGCGATTTTTAACAGGTTAATAAATACTAGCTGTCGAAAAGTGCGTCTTTGGTTTAGAATAAATGTTTTTGAACATTTCCAAAAATTGCATGAGCTGGTCAGTGAGTGATTTTGGTCGACTGGACGATTGGTCAAACATTTGTTTTATATGGCTTGGCATAGTCTAAATAAATCTCCCAATGACGATTTGCGGGAGTCTTATCATAGCAGCGCCTGGGCCAGTTCTGGTAATGTAGCGTCCAGCCTTTGACAACGATGTACACATCTTCCAATCATAGCCCAGACGTGCTGTATGAGGGAAAGGTCAGGACTACTTGCCTTCTGGTGATGTTTCCCTGCTGGAGGTAGTTGTCTTAAAGGGCGACATGGACAGAACTTTTGGAGCCAGTATGTTGTCTTGGTTTGACTGTCCAGTCAACCTTCCATGGACAATATGCAGTGGCGTTCTGGGATCCCTCCCAATATCATTATAGACTTATCACCAAATCTGTCATGTTGCTTTAGGAAGACTCCAGAGACATCCAAAGTCTGGTTTCTGATTAATGGATCGGACTTGTGTTGATTTAGGGCGCCTTGTGCAGCCGATCATTAACATTTTGTGTCTGCGGGAACCTGTTCCAAAGTCTGCAAATCACAGACTGAGACGCTCTGAACATATTGGCTGCCTGTGGCTGAGTCGTACGAGTTTGTATCATACCAGTAGCCCATGGGCGTTGATCACATTGTTGACAACGCATTCCCAATCTCAGAACAAAAACTACAATAGAGCAGGATTGAGAGCTTACTCTTACTGTGGATAATCTAAATCAAGATTACCCAAAGCTCGGAGTGATTTGAACATCTTTGACAAAAGTTTTGAATTCAAGATTGAACCCCCAAAGTGGACGAAGATCAATGTGCAGTGTTTCATGTGTGTAGGGGCGTTAGGATTTGTTTTCTGGCAATTACCAAAGTTGATCCTTCCTCTGACGACCGATTGTAACATATATGTTTCATGATCCTGAAATGCTGAAGTGATCAAAACAGCCAGATTAGCCTACAACATTTACAAAAGCGAAAAAAGAAGCTTCAAGTGTAAATTGGTTTCAATTGGGAGTGTTTCAGATCTGACGATATATGTTGAGATTGGTCAGTGCATCAATATAACAATATTTGTTTCTACTTTTCTATTGGGGTGATAGCTTTGGAACGAAGGGAGAGGAGACATGTCATTAAACATATCTTTGGAATGTTAGAATTAAGGTGTATGTACGTGTTGTTACCCTGCCTGGTGCTCGGCAGAATACAAAAAGGACTGGTCGGCCCGGAATCTGTATATTGTGTCTGTAGGGTATTCATGTAAAACTGCGGCATGGCGTCTCGGTCATCTAGCACCATACCACCAATATTTGTAAGTACTAGCAGCCACACGCACGCGTGTATACACGTCACTATATGCGCAATATTCTTGAATGCAACGTTTAATTCCATTTCACCTCACCAATGGCAACCGTGCTGATGAATTAAAGGTGAAATCACCATGTCAACATTTATCCTTCGTCTGAAGCCATAGAAGAAGTTAATGAGTTCTATGTAGTGGTATTTAAAGTAATGTGGAAATGTGAAGGAAAGCGTGGTACCAGTTAGAAATGTAACTCATTAGACCAGTAGGTGGTCTATCGTAGATTCGTAAAATTTACTAATCCGTAGAGATTACTGTCCATCTTTCAAGGAAGTACTGGTTTAAGTGGTGAATTCTACTAATTTAATTAGTGACATTTAGGAATCGTCCTATCATAATTTTCTAACTGCAATAGTGTATTTACTTAGCTTGTAGTAAGTTTTACAACACTTTAATAAAGGCTCGTTTCTTTTGGGGTGCAGGAGAAAATTGGTTGCAAAAGTGTCTCCAGACATGGGCCAAAATTTTAATGAAATTGTGGAGAAAATGGACCCAAATATTGAAGAAACAAAACTAACACAAATCTGTAGTGGCTTAGTTTATTTATTGTTTAGTCATTTAGTTTACATGTTTTCCAAGTCATCCAACTCCAACTCCAACTTTTAGTGGTCCATTGATGGCACTGCGCTCAGTAGTCGTGAAACTGTTATCTGCCCAGCCAATTACTGTTCCTACAACAGACCGCCTCCGTGGTCTAGTGGTAGAGCGTCCGCCCGGAGAGCGGAAGGTCTGGTGTTCGATCCTCGACCGCGGCATACCAAAAGACGTTAAAAGATGGTACTTGTTGTTACCCTGTCTGGCACTTGGCATAAAGGGGCCAAAACAAGGACTGGTCGGCTCAGTCCTTGCGATACAACTGGAATAGCTGTCCATTTCTGTCAGTGTTGCGAATGTACGACCGCAACTTTCCTTTTGGTACCAGGAGCATCTGTGATGGATGTTGCTTTGCCTCCTTGTGTAATTCCTGGTCGAGTTCACAGAGGCACAGCTGCTGTTCATTCAGAGCGTTGTTTAACCTGCGATGCAATGCTGAATAAATACAATTAGCATGTGTCACCAAAACAGATAATATTTTAATCTTTTTATACTCTAAAACAAATTACTAGAATACATAATACCTTCAACGTGATTGTTCGTCCTAGTGGTCTCAATACAAAAATCCCACAAGGCCTTGTTCCGCAATGGTGAACTTGTTCGCTTCAGTATAAATGTCCATGTTGTCAGGTTCACGGATACTGTCGTCTTCAATGGATCTGAATAAACAATTATCATATACTAGTATGTTACAAGTTTGTTATTAACAGATATTACAATGTTCATATCATAGTACATTTTACATATAAACTCTCAGTTAATATTGACCATCTTATCTTAAATATTAAGTTACCTTTCAAGATGATTTTTCGGTATCTCAGTAACTTGTGAGCGGGAAAGGTGTATGTCGTCTTTGTCATGGCGACTTCTGCAGGAGTAGGAGAAGCTTTGGACTGCCACTCCACCTCAAACCAGTTGTCCTGCGTGACTGCCTCCACACGACGACTAATGGAGGCGCTCGGGTAGCCTAGTGGTTAAAGCGATCGCTCGTCACGCCGAAGACCCGGGTTCTATTCCCGACATGGGTACAATGTCTGAAGCCCATTTCTGGTGACCCCCACCGTGATATTGCTGGAATATTTCTAAAAGCGGCGTAAAACCATACTCACTCACTCACTCATCACGCCGACTCATAGCCATATCTTCCACACAGACCTAACAACTGAATGGAAAGCCTTATGCTTGCTGGGTGACCTCCTTATACTGAGTGACAGTAACTCCAGTTTCACATACTCTGTGAATCTATCACTGACAAAATGTACGGGTTAAAAACCAGCTGAATTCTCCGAACCATCCTCTTACACTTGTTGCAATGAACAGTCATTTGGATTTAGCTGTGGTCAGGCTGGGTGCACGTATATAGACCCAGATCAGGGATTACCTCATCCTCACTTCAGAAATTCTCCTAAACTTTTGTTATTAAACCCCAAACAAAATAACGATTAAAGCATGGGACAACAT